GCTCATAGAAGTTTCTCGCTAATACGAGTTTCTCGCTCATAGAGGTTTCTCTCTAATACGAGTTTCTCGCTCATAGAGGTTTCTATCTAACACGAGTTTCTCGCTCATAGAGGTTTCTCTCTAATATGAGTTTCTCGCCCATAGAGGTTTCTCGCTAATACGAGTTTCTCGCTCATAGAGGTTTCTCTCTAATACGAGATTCTCGCTCATAGAGGTTTCTCTCTAATACGAGTTTCTCGCTCATAGAGGTTTCTCTCTAAAACGAGTTTCTCGCTCATAGAGGTTTCTCTCTAATACGAGTTTCTCGCTCATAGAGGTTTCTCTCTAATACGAGTTTCTCGCTTATAGAGGTTTCTAAGACGAGTTTCTCGCTCATAGAGGTTTCTAAGACGAGTTTCTCGCTCATAGAGGTTTCTCTCTAATACGAGTTTCTCGCTCATAGAGGTTTCTCTCTGATACGAGTTTCTCGCTCATAGAGGTTTCTATCTAAGACGAGTTTCTCGCTCATAGAGGTTTCTCTCTAATACGTGTTTCTTGCTCATAGAGGTTTCTCGCTCATAGAGGTTTCTCTCTAATACGAGTTTCTTGCTCATAGAGGTTTCTCGCTCATAGAGGTTTCTCGCTAATACGAGTTTCTCGCTCATAGAGGTTTCTCTCTGATACGAGTTTCTCGCTCATAGAGGTTTCTCTCTAATACGAGTTTCTCGTTCATAGAGGTTTCTCTCTAATACGAGTTTCTCGCTCATAGAGGTTTCTCGCTCATAGAGGTTTCTCTCTAATACGAGTTTCTCGCTCATAGAGGTTTCTCTCTATGAGTTTCTCGCCCATAGAGGTTTATCTCTAATACGAGTTTCTCGCTCATAGAGGTTTCTATCTAATACGAGTTTCTCGCTCATAGAGGTTTCTATCTAATACGAGTTTCTCGCTCATAGAGGTTTCTCTCTAATACGAGTTTCTCGCTCATAGAGGTTTCTATCTAATACGAGTTTCTCGCTTATAGAGGTTTCTATCTAATACGAGTTTTTAGCTTATAGAGGTTTCTATCTAATACGAGTTTGTCGCTCATAGAGGTTTCTCTTTGTTTATTTGGATTGTTAGCATTTTAGCATATTTATAGCAATATTAAATCTGTACTTGTTTTACAGATTAGGAACTTCGTCATTTTGTAATCTGACTAGGAATAAAAATACTAAAGAAATGTAAAGTCAATTTGACAATATGATACCTACAGATTGACCGAAAATTTCTCTGTCAGTTTACAAAATGACGAAATTAATAATTTATCTAAACTATCGTATTTTAGTATAACTAAACTTTATAATCTTCCATACTCTTTCGATTTTTTCCTACTTTTTAATATTTTTTTTATTCTTCAGATCCCGTCAACATTTCATTATTACGACTTAATTTATTAAATAGTTAAATATTATTAGTTTACGGTAATTATTGTATTTTATATGTTATGCCAATTATTAATGCCACAGCGATATATATCGAATATAAGAAATATTATAATACAAAAAACTTTAGAAATAAAAAAATTAACTTAAAAAAATTAATCAGTGAAAATCAAAATAATTTGGTATCTATATATAAATAAAATTGAATTGTCTGTATGTAATATTTTTAATACATGTATATACATACAGCGTGTTCCAAAATTCAACAAGCCAGTATTGGTGCATAGCCAAGTTGATAACTACACTGGATAAAAAATATAAAAAATCCAACTCCTATCATTTAAAAGTTACATTGTCTTGACGGACAACAAACTGGTCCTATAAGGGTTCCGTTTTTTTTCAAGGAACATTGCATTAAAGTTAATTAACACTAATAAAGAGAAATCTTCGTTTCTTTTTAAATAAATTAAACGAAAATAACATAAAATTTGTTAGTACACAAAAACTATTTTTTTTTTCATCAAAAATAATGAAAAAAAAAACTTTTAGTAGTCGAATTTCAAGCAATAGACGACTTAATAAACCAACGAAGTAATTTAAATTAGTTTTATAAAATAAAAATTGTCTAAATCAAAAATAATTTGCAAAATATCTTATAGTTTGTAAAATTTTTACTAATAAAAATAATTTTTAATTTCCTTTTAATAGGACATAATAATATAAATTATTTAAATAAGACGCGAAAGTATTTCAAAGGCTTTTTACAAAGTTTTTTTTTAAATTATACAATGTTTCAAATACATTTTGGAAGTGGAAGTGGACTTTGCGGATGAGAGGATGCATGGAAAGGTAAAATATTTTCTTTCTGTGCATCCTCTCCGTCGATTGAAGTTAGGCAACGCATATACAATTGCGTATGTCTATGGGCAACGTTCACTTCGCTATTTCAGCGATTTCAGGTGGCCGCTCGTTCGTTTGCCATCTTCTTCTTCTTCTAGTGCCTCTTCAGTCTTGAAGGTTGGCCGCTAACTTCGAATATTTGGTTCTGTCAAGCGCAAGGCGAAACAGTTCCTCTGCTGACCTAATCCCCGTCCACTCCCTAATATTACGTAGCCACGATTTTTTCCTACGTCCAGCGCGTCTCTTGCCTTCAATCTTGCCCATCATTATCAACTGAAGTAACTTGTACCTGTCATGCCGCAGCACATGACCCAAGTATTCCACTTTACGCTTTTTGACGGTCTGCATGAATTTTCGGCTCATAGCGACGCGCTGGAGCACCGTCTCGTTTCTAACTTTCTGCGTCCAGCTAATCCTGAGCATACGACGATAACACCACATTTCGAATGCCTCGAGGCGTCTCTTAGTATCCTCTTTTATCGTCCATGCTTCGCAACCGTAGGTTACGACAGGCCAGATGTAAGAGAGTAGAATCCTAGTTCGGA